GGGCTCTTTAGTCCTTGGGTCCTCCACCGATGTTTATATGAGTTTTGAGGACTCTTTAGTCCTTGGGTTCTCCACCAAATATGTCCCTATGATCTACCTTGTTCCAAACTAGATAAGGCCTATATCATAATTATTTATACAAGGCTAAATCAATCCATAAAGCCTATGAATATATCAGTCCATGCAAAGCCTTGGGTACTCCACTACATTGTGGACAAGCATTCATGTCAATTCACAAGTAAATAATATCAACCGGTGTCGGTGGTTCCGTAGTCATTCGGTCAACGTTCCTTTGACCGCCACTACAAATCTTACCCATACCAACTTAATCACGATGTGTATCAAGTTAATAATATCAATTGTCATGCTTCTTTCACTTTCAAGTCAAGCATACATTTTCACAAAAATTTCTCATACCATACTTCATGTATATTCAAGTAATTCATTTCATTCAAGTTTAATCATTTTGGCACATCACATGTTTAAATATCCTTTAAACATCATTTTGAATATATATAACATTTAATTAGGTAATCTCATAATTAACCCAAAAGTTATAAGACATTAAGCCGTCCACTCACCTTAAATGAGCTTTAGCGTGTTCTACGCTCCTCGATTGAACTCCGGCGAAACTCCGGCGAACTCCGGTGAACTCTAGAAACACTTTAGTTAAGCTCCTAACATGGTTTTATCATCAAAATACCCATATCAATACAAATAACCTCTAAAAGGTTATTTTCCAGTGAACCGGTCGTTTTGGCTTCTAAGTCCGTTCTTGGACTTAGAACCACCTTCCAACCCCTCATTCTACCTTTCTAGACATGTAGAACAAGACTAGGGGCTCCTCATATGTTAAGCTAGCCATATCCTTTATTCTCAAGGTTTTTCTCTAATTTGCAACCTTTTCCTTCTCCCTTAAGCTCCTTGCTTGCTTGAGCTCTCTTTGCAGGGGTGTTCCCTCTCTCTTGGAAAGGCTAGATCGAGCAAAGTGATTGGGGTGGGAGGTGATGCGTTTCTTTTATCTCAATTGGGAGATAATTGAGAGGGGAGGTCCACCCAAGGCCATACCTACACCAACCCATCACTCTTATCCATTTTACACCACTCTTCTACACCATGCAGCTCTCCAAGTCAACCATTTAGCACACAAAAACGTGGGGTGGCCCCCACTCATTTGGGAGGTCATCCCTTTATGTCCCAAACTGTACAGTCGGCCCCGAAAGTTGTATTTCTCGGACTGTTTTATTTATATTTTATTTTATCGGGTCAAATAAAATATAACACATGTTCCTACTCATTGTAGGCCTTTAGAATGGATGTACAATCCCCAACTTTAATTTAGAAGTCTGCGAAATTCATTTCGGGCTATTATCCGATGAATTACCAACCAATACCGGTAATTTGGGCCTCGTTTGACCCATGGGTCAACCCTATGCCCTTTCTATGGCCCAACTAAAATATCTACCACCATGTACATATTGTCTAGACCAAGATGAATATAATATGTGGTCCTGGAATTATCAGGTGGTCCCCGTTCCCGGTGTGGGCCCCACGTGCAATTTACTATTCACGCAAAAGAATTAGCAAAAATTTACAACCTTGTAAACTCATAATTCATTCCTCGAGGTTTATTACATGATTTTGCTAAGAAGTAAATATACTTGGGGACGGTGCTACAAGTTCACCCCCCCCCCCCCCTTATTTGGGATTTCGTCCCCGAAATCAACGTGTCTAATCGAAAAGAAACGGGTATTGCTCCCTCATTGAGACCTCAGTCTCCCATATTTCTTCTTCTCTGCTTCAATCGTTCGATCAGCCCCTCTCTGATACCAAATGTTCGTCCCTGTATTCTCTATACTAGAATGGTGTATGAAGATGGAGCTCTAAGTGATATAGAGGAAGCTTTCCATTGAATAAGGTTCTTACAGAATGATAAAGAGTAAACTTAGCGTAGAGAAACCTTTTCACGCAAATAGCTCTGCGGCTCTAGGAATAAAACGTCTGGAAAGCTTGACCTACGCATTCTACAAAGGGCATATATATAAACTTGTAGAATGCTAGGTCAGCATATGATTGGGCTCCTATAAAGAGGATGCCCATTCCTAATTTGGCATGCAAGCCTTTGCCATTTAAGGCCTATTTGGTGTCTAATTAATACTACAAAAAGGATTAATAAAATACATGGATCACAATTCATAAATAGAATGATAATCCAAAAAGTCTTCCCTAAATAGAATAAATACATTATGAATGTCCATGTAGTCATTTACTAATATGCCCTTGTGTATTAAATGATTCAAACTTTCCTTGTAATGTATAATATTATGCACGTTAGTTACACCGTTATTAACATGCTCCATTATTATTATAGCCATCCGATTACATTGACCGATGGCCAGATCTCTTTCTTATTCCTCTCTTAAAGGTCTGTTATTACCGGAACCGATCCCTATATATAATTACATATTGGAAATATTTTTGAATCATCGGTGTAAGGGTAACAATAACCCACGAGCCAGCTTGTCACTTGGATTTTCTGGACGTAACTATCCACGACAAGACATTCTAATGGGTTACCGGAAGTCATGTGGAAAAAATGTTGGGTCACCAGATTGAAAAAGTATATGTAATTAAATGTATAAATTGTAGAAATATGTGAGAACACTTGGTTTTTGCGTGGAAACCTCAAAGTAGAAAACCACAAGACTTTTTGGGTTAATGTCCAAATCACTCTCATTTTATTAGTGTGTTTTTACGTAGCGTCTCCTCACATTATTACATTATATAAAGTTCCCATTAATGAAGTCCTTGAGCTATTCTAGAGAAGAGGGAGGGTGGAGAAGAAGAAGACTAACTAGAGGGAAAAGGGAGATCCTCCTATAAATAGAAAAAAGGGGAGGGGTGCACTTCTATCCTAATGGGCCGAAACGAGCCGCATGGACCGGAATGAACTAAATGGGCTGAAATGGGTTTCACTGATCGGGCTCCCCAATGGGGGTAATGCATTTGGCTCCTAAAGAGTAATAGGCCGAGATAATATATTCAACACAAGTCCCCAAGTTTCTTGAGTAGTAAGCGTGCAGATCTTATCGAGAAATTATACTCCTGCTCGCGCTCTTTCTTGCTCTTCCTTGAATTTTCTCTCTTCAAGTAGTCCTGCTAGATGGGTGGGTGTTCGCCCCTATGAATATAATATGTCGCCAAAACTCTCTCCCTCCCGACTGGATCGGGTGAGGGATGCTCCCCCGTGGGCGTTCTCCCTTCTGATCATATGCAAAGGAAAAGGACTCTGACTTGGGTATCAGTAGACCCCCCCCCCCCCCCCCCCATTTAATGTTTTTTGCTACCCGAGGAGCTTTAGAGGCTCATGTACAGATGCGTTGAATGACATGGAAAGGACGAACAAAATGTATGTGTGCATCCATGAATGTATGAGATGCGATGTATGAGAGATGATGTAACAAATGTGATGTATACCCTTTGCATCAGGCACGATGGCGCGAAGGGGCAAGTCGTGTTGCATAAGACGGTGATCGTCATCCTGAGAAGGAGTAAGCGAGCTCACCCGTAAACCGGACACGGCGGCATTAATGGGTCGAACATGCTGCATAAGGTGGCGATCGCGATCCTGGAAAGGAATGTGCGTGCCCGACCGTAAACTGGACACGACAGCGCTGATGGGTCGATCATGGTAAATAAGGCGGCGATCGCCATTCTGGAAAGGAAAAGGTGGGACTGGCCGTGAACTGGACACGACGGCGCTGAGGGGCGGAACGTGCCGAATCACTTTATTTTTTCAAATTTAAGTCAACAGAAATTCATAACTCATTTCTTTAGTTAACATTATTATTAATAATTTTCTTTTTCCTTTACTATTTTCCAATTACTTAGTGACATTTTCTCATATGTTCGACACTTACTTGAGCACTATAGTGATTTGTTCACTTGCGAGAACTTATACATTGTCCATTAGGAACCCTCTTGGTTGTCCATTAGGAACCCTCTTGGAGTACTAGGTAAAGTAAGATATACTTTTTATTCTTAAATTTTGTTATTCTGATGAGGACTAGAAGATATGCCTTGATATCAGCCGAGACGTTATCATCCATTGACTAGCAATTGGCCCTGCTTACACCCCAATCAAGCAAAAGATGACATATCTGTTAACTAAGTGAAGGAAGTTCTAAAGGTGATGTGACCATGCTTCTGAGCATCGAGCGCATAGCCGATTTCAAGTACCTAGAATGACTATCCAACATGTCCTCGATCAAAATCTCTAAGTTTCCATGGTGCATTTATTTGAGTGTTTTTGGCGTACAAGGGTTTGATTCCAGAACATTTACAGGATAAGAATATCAAGTTAATGAAACTAACATCACATGTCTACAGAACAAACACTGACTGAAAATTTGAAAGAGCTTCCAAATTTTCAGACCCCGAATTGATAGTTCGTCTATCTTTCAGGTCCCGGATTGATAAAATTCTGATTTGGGAATTTTATCAATCGGGGACCTGAAAGATAGACGAACTATCAATTCGAGGCCTGAAAGATGAAACGTATCGGTATAGGACCCGAATGATGAAAAACTATCAATCTAGGACCCGAATGATTGAAAACTATCAATTTAGGACCTAAGTTTTCATAAATTTTATTTTTATTTTTATTTTAAAAAATTTAAATAATATTTAATTTTATTAAACTAATAAACTTTTGTGAAGAAAAATTCACCAAATATTAGCAATGGAATTAATAAAAAATTAAATAAATCAAAACCTATGTAATGTTAGATCCTAGATTGATAGTTTTTCATCTTTCGAGTCCTATACTGATGCATTTCATCTTTCATATCCCGAATTGATAATTTATCTATCTTTCAGGTCCCAGGTTGATAAAATTCCGATTTGAATAGTATAATTGCATCATATTTGACTATCTGGTGATGGCATTTCGAGAACCGCACCCTCGGGCCTCATCAACGTAAATAATGTTGGAGTAATATGATCGATCTCATTGGATTACTCTGATAGTCTAATATAAGCAAAACCAAGAGGCAATCCTACTTATCAATAAGCTAATCTTATTATAGTGCACCAACCAAACGCCCCTTACAGTAAACGGAATCACAAAGTGAATTACTTCCTCGTCAAAACTCTATACCAGATATATACATAAAAGAGTATGACAATCCCTACATTCAATATGTAAAAGAGTATTACAATATATAAATTTTAAAAAGGTACCGCAATCCCAAAATGCAGCCAAATTTGATGTTAACTTCATCTGCATTGTTTCATTGAGATCGCCAAACCCAATTTCTCCACAACTTTCAATAACGATGTATTTCCTTCGCATGCCTCTCTAAACTTCTGTAATCTATTTTCGGTTTGACATTTGCGTGGAGAGAGAGATTCACCCCCTGTGTCGGCTCTTAAGCGAGTGCCTAATTTCTTATATTGGACTAAACTAATCATCATGCCCTGTCATGGATCACGCACAAAACACACTAGTTAAACACCTCATTTTCTTGGTTTGACTTGGCATAATTTTTTATGCAACTTTACTTCGTATTTGGTTGGGAGATAATAATGATGACAAGTGAGGATAGTAAAATAAACTGACAGCTTAATCCCTGTTCATATTTCATAACAGGTGTAGTTTTGGAAGAAATGAAGTAGATTACCTGACTAAGGAGTTAGTAGATGTAAAAATGCTTTACCAGTTTCACCCCTTTCTAGCAATTACTTATCATTGAAAATTAAAATTACACAGAAATCTTGAAAAAGGCACAGAAAATGAAAAGATAGCATCAACCCCTGTTTTGGGTTTATAAAATGACACATGTGAAACAAAAAGATCCTCAAGTAAGAAAAGATAACTTTCTTCAGAGATGGACCAAAAAAAGAATGAATGTGGTGTTACTATTTAGAAAAAGCCAAACATGTTTTTAATCCTCCAATCTTGGGTTGTTAGCCCAATAATCAATAGTCATGTTGAGCCTCTTGACATCAATCAGACATATTAAGCGTCCCAGGCCTACTTCAGACTCAGAGCGTTCCGTTTTTAATCTCTCATTCTTCTGTGATGCCTTGACCATCTCTCATTTCCGTCAGAAGTTGGTGAGTCAAGGAAGAGTCCAACTCGTGACAAAAATGGGACGGAGATGCCAAAAAAGGGGTTGAATTAGAAATAAGTTTGTTTTTGTCATTCGCGAAGTCTGGTTACAAGTTATAGAGGTTCAATGGGGCCACAAAGAAAGACCGAAGGAATTAAATATGTGTTTGGTGCTCTACTAGAAATTCGGGATATGATGCACTAAGACATGTGATGCCACATTTTACCTCATGCTGCTGGTTACGAGAGTAGTCTCGGAGAAGAGATCTGATGAGCTTGTTACGTAATGGCAAGCTGTGACGAGTAAAAGGCTTGAAAAAGAGAGTTGAGAGGTGATGCACTGTGAGTGTGAAGGAGGCGGAGGAGCGAATTGATGCTCTGTCTAAAGCACCTGAAACCCATGATTTTACATACACCTCCAGGATCCTCTCATCATCCTGCACACATACCAGCAAGTTGTCAATTTAACCAAACCGAGATATCTAACATTTGATCCATTTTACTTCTAATGGGGTGAAAAGAGCAGAAAAGTTAATCTCAATAGGCTTCATACCATTCATATCTAGTCTCGCAACGGCACACTCATAGTTTAGAAAAGCTTTTTTGAGGCTCGCTTTAGTGTGAGGTGGTGAAGAAAACCAGTGAAAAGAGGCTTAAGCCTCAAATGATTGAGGCATTTGTGAGGCTTATGCCATGAGAAGTCATGCTACAAGTAAGCCTCATGTTTTTACTCTTAAATTGTATGGTTCTTCTTAGGCTGATTATTCTTTAAGAAATTCATATTGGATATATTGTTTTCCAATAATTAGTCACTGGGCCCATCGAAGGCTCGGAAGTGTATATGCAAACATCAACAATTATAACATATAGCTCTGCTAATAAAGTTCACATGACCTGCAAACATTTCGTGCAAATAACTCAAACAACACTTGCTATTCTTCTCTTGTTTCCAGCAAGGTTCAAATAACTCAAACAACTCTTGAAAAATAACTGCATTAGTAACAGAACTTCTCTAACCTGATATTTTTATTCAAATAGCTCCAGAATATCAAATTTTCAAAGGCCCATCCATTTCTTCTATGTTTTTCTCATTTAAATTTTTTTCAGATTTATATGGGATAAGAAGTCTTAAATACATATCTTTAAAGAGTTAAACTTATAATAGGGGTTTATGACACTTATGCATGACTCATTTTTACATGTGATTGATAAAATGTCTTACATTGTTAGTAATTATGAATTGTGAAGGAATTTATGCATGAAGTTGATAGAGACCTAAAATAATACGTAGTACTAGAATAAGAATACTATCAAGTCTTTTAATATTGTACAATAAAAGGGGTTTAGGCTCTATAACTAAAATAGAAGTGGGCTGGCCCATTAGAAAAAGAACAAATAGGGGTGAGCTGTGGCTCCTGTGAGTAGGAGGAGGGAGAAATTTTGGGGATCGGGACTGGGATTTTGGAAGTGTGAGACCACTTGAAGAGTCTCAACCTTTTTTTGTGTTATTTTCTGTATTCCAACATTAAATCTTCATTAATATACTACGATCATCTATTTCCATCATTTGCAATGGAGCCAAAGAGTCGCTATTTTTTGGCTTGGGAATATGATGGAATAAAGCAAAAGGCTCACTAAACTGTTTGCGCTTCTTTATTATGAAGTAGCAGTCGTCAGTCCATGCAATTTTTTATGCAATTTTCACCTTGGGTCATCCGGAAACAGTCTCTCTGTACAGGGGTAAGACTGCGTACATCCGACCCCCCCTTGTGGCACTGGGGTAATGATAATGATGATGAATATACTACGATTATCTACTGTGATTGTTCCGCTACCTATCATTGGTATTAGAGAAAAACGATCACCATAGATGCGTATGGTATTCACTCGGTCAAACGGTCAAACATGGAACAGAGGATTGAAAGTTCGGAGCGATCATTGGAGCATTCAAGGGAAGAGATGTGAACGGAGATGCGAGACTTGATGAGTTGATGGACAAGAAAGTGCAGGTGTTCCTGGAGAAGATGCAGAGTCTTGAAGTCCAGGGCAGTTGCAGGAGAAGACGGGAAAGATCGACCACCAATCATCGACGCCAGACTTCTGCCAGCGTGAGTTCGTCCAATTCCGGAGGTAACCCTCATGAATCTCGATTTGCTTCAGGCACACTTAATAATACGAGGTCGGCGATCGGGTTTATACTGGAAGAAAGGCGGATTTACCGCTGTTCAGCGGAGACGATGCTCATGGATGGCTTATCAGGATTGAACGCTATTTTAAACTAAATCATGTATCGTAAGGTGACAAAGTAGAAATAATCATGATAGCCATGGCTGGAAAAGCTCTGAACTGGTAGCAATGGTGGGATGAACAGATAGCTGACCATTCTTGGGTTAACTTCAAAGACGCTTTGATCCGGCGTTTTCAACCTGCTTTAGTACAGAACCCCTTTGGTCCTATGCTCAGTATTAGGCAAACTGATTCAGTAATGGAGTACCAGAATCACTTTGAAATGGTTGTAGCTCCTCTCAAACTTGCTGACCAAGAGATGTTAAAAGAAGTGTTTCTCAATGGCCTTAAAAAGAAATTAGCACGGAGCTGAAGTTGTACCAGACCGGTGGGTTAACCGAACTGATGGAGTTGGAAGAGAAGAACAAAGTTTTAAAGGAGAAAAAAATAAGGAAGAAGACAAAAAAGGCTCGAAGGAACAGGGAGGGAAAATGGTTAGACCCTTGAACTGGATGGAAGCACCAAAGGGAAGAACACCTGCTGTGACTCCTGAGAGAACACTGTTAGACACTGATAATCGATACTCAGAACAATATAGAAATCAGTAGAAATTGTAGAAGAACAGATCGAAAGCTTTATTCAATGTGATGAACCGAACCGAAGGGATACAGTAACCACAGACAATTCGAGATGCCCAATCTCCTAGCCCAGTCCTAGCCAAATAACAGCCTCCTCTGCTAGCTTATTAACTTCTATTTATAGTAAAAACCCACTTATTATTATTTCTAATACTAGGCCCATTCCTAACAAAAGCCCACTTATTATTATTTCTAATACTAGGCCCATTCCTAACAAACACATTCAGAGAACAAACTGGAGGAATCACCAAAACCAAGTAAGACATGGGAGGGAGGCCAAAGATTGACACAAGCAGAGCTAGAAGAAAGAAGTAAAAAGGGTCTGTGCTTCAAAAGAACAAATAGGGGTGAGCTGTGAGTAGGAGGGGGGGGGGGGGGGATTTTGGGGATCGGGACTGGGATTTTGGGAGTGCAAGACCACTCGAAGAGCCTCAACTTCTTCTTCCGTTATTTTCTGTATTCCAACATTAAATCTTCATTAATATACTATGATTATCTACTTTGATTGTTCCGCTACCTATCAGAAGTTCGAGGCTTACGCCTCACCTACAACTGAAAATTCCCCTAGGATTAAAATCCCTTATAAACTTTGTGCACACCATCATTGAGTTTGATAATCAACTTTTTTGGAGTTGATTTGGTCCTCCAGTACTAAACTCAGACCCAATTTAGCCCTTGTACATTTTCTTGTTCTACATAACAAGGGTAATACTGTTAATGAACTAAATATAGACCATTTGGTCCTCAAATATGTCATTTGAACAAACTTTATCCCTTACTCAGCATAGAGAAACCCCATTCTTAATAAGAGGGAAGTATACATCAACGTGAGGAAAAAATTGAACCTAAATTGCGTGGTAGAGAACCAAATTTAATAATAGTGTATAGATGGAATCAATCGTGTGCCTTCAATATGACCGATAGAAATCAATGTTGTAATAATAGAAAAATTCTTGCATTGTCTTGATTAATCCCCGCCTAAACGTTAGGCTGTTCTTGTCAGTTCTTTCTTCCGATTCCACCATAATAAAACAAAGTGTAAAAAGTTTCATAAACTGATAAACATGACTGTTTATCAAAGATTACTAAAGAAAATAAACTAAGAAAGAAGATTTCAATCAACCAATGAAATGTAACTAAGACAAGTTAAATGTGGACAGATGGAGGATTAGAGCTTATATTAAGTAGGTAAGAAGGAATACCTCTACAGGTTCAAGATAGCCATCAGCAGCAGATATGCATTCATCCAAAGGAGGCAGAAGCTCGAGAGCAAAAGTATTACACAGTGCTTTCCAAGTAGCAAGCCGAACAGAAGCTTCAACAGACCTATGCAAGTAGAATGCTACTTGGCGTCCAAATATCAAATCGCCATATGAAACAGCTGCAAATTGCTCCACCAGAGTCTCTATAAAAGTTGGATAACTTTCGTGTATCTCAGATTTAAAATCAATAGACTTCACTTCATTGCTTCGTCGTGCATCAAGAAATTGCCCATAAATATGTTGCAAATTTTCATAGGTGACTCTACTATTCCCATCCTCAAGAATGCTCGTTCCAGTGAGCAATAAAACTGACAGAGCATGCAGTTTCCACATGACTGAAATGTGTGGTAAGGATCCATTTGGAACTCGGGGATTGCTGTAAAAAGAAGTCAGGAAGTAAAATATGAGAAACATGGAAGAAAGGAAAAAGTGATGGACGAACAACAACATCCAAGCCTTAGTCCCAAAAGAGTTCGGAGTCGGCTCACATGAATCGACATCTGAAATCGAAGTTAAAAAAGATAACAAAGATATACAAAAAGATAGATAAGATAAGATAAGATAAAAAAGAAAGATAATGAGATGAAAAGATAAGATAAAAAAGAAAGATAATGAGATAAAAAGATAAGATAAAGATAAAGAACATAAGAAAGATAAAATGGATAAAAGATAGAAAAGATGAAAAGAGATAAATCCTCCACCCAAATATGCTCCTCCACTTCGCACTCCTGATAAAAGTGATGGATGATAAAACAACAAATTTATTTTTTATGTTCATTTCAACTTGTTTTATTTATCTATTTACATTATGTGAAGACTAAGTGTAAGTGTCAAATGGGTCATTAAATCACTTTAAATATGTGTCAGTTTGGGGATTTTGTTATGAAAAGTGGTTTTAACCCTATAAAAGCCAAAACTAGAGGTTTATTTAATCCATCAAAATCTTTTCTATTTTTATAATAGTGTTGAATTCCCATACCTGAAACTTGTGAAGGAATTAGACACTATATTAAGATCTGGAATGTTATTCTTATCAGGTTGACCTTTTAGGATGAAAACCCATATCTTAACATGGTATCAGAGCCAAATTGATCCATGGTGTGGGTCCCCATATGAAAAATGTTGACACGAAATGGCAATAATGAATCGATGAAAAAAATGAATGACGGCACCATCCAGACGAAGTGTCTGGTCGTGAGGAGGGGTGTTGAATTCCCACATCGGAAACTTGTGAAGGAATTAAACACTATTAAGATTTGGACTCTTCCTCCTATCAGGTTGACCTTTTAGGATGGAACCTCAAATCTTAACAAATAGCATCAATATATTGTTTTCAAATTTTGGAAAATGTTGTTATCCGTTTAGATGTCATCTCAAATGAGCTTAAAGAAATTCAAACATAAAAATTTGTAAGAAAATGTTAAACACATTGGTCCTGTTTCACTTTCCGAGGTAAATCTGAAAATAAGATAATTAGGGCACGTTTACTAACAGAGATATTTTCCAGTTTTCTTTTCTGTTTTCCGTTTTCCAATTTTCTGTTTTGATTTTCCAGTTTTTTGTTTTCTAATTTTCTGTTTTCATTTTCCAATTTTTCATTTTCAAATCTGAAAACATGTTCCCAAAACTTCTCACCCAGTTCTAGGACCGGCCGAAAGACCGCAAGTACGGTCCCGATCGGGAATCGGACCTGGTACCACCTGCTCAAATAGGGTACCGGTCCCGCGTATTTCAAATTTGGAAAACTAGTAAAACAGAGACATATTTCATTTTTTGTTTTGGAAAATGATTTGGTAAATGCGGTTTCTTGTTTTCCTTTCTCCAGTTTTCCAGCAAACTTTATCGGTATATATCTCTGTTAGTAAACGCCCCCTTGCATTCCAACATTTTTTCCCTTTCCATATGATCTTCCAAACATACACTAGTAGAGACTCCAGGGAATCAGCTCCATGGAGTTTAGATGCTGCTTCAATACCAAAAAGAAAAAATAGACCGCCCTTTGCCACATCAAGAAAGCCCATAGCATCAGAAGAAGAAGTTTTGCTGAAAGGAATGGTTGACAGTGAACTAAGAAACCAATGCAAGGGAAGAGGCAATCTCTGGTAGGCCCACTCAACTACCAAAGAGGTTGGATCTGCGGTTGTAAGACTTGATACATCTGTCTCCTCCTCGAGAATGGTTTCTAATGAAATTCTACTATTCTTCGCAGATGTAATTTTCTTTTTTGAGCCCAACCAACGGTTTCTGAAGTGAGATACTAAAACGTTGCTGAACAGTAGATATTCCTCTTCTTTGTATTCCCGTTCAAAAGGCTTAAGGCGCTTATTAAGACCAACCAGCTGGCGAATAACAAACTCAAGGGACTTCATTACCGGAGCTTGGAACATGATACCAAACATCTTATCCATTACATATTGATTCTTTGGCCCAAAAACCAAACAAGTAACCATGGCAGCATTTATCCTTTGTATCACAGATCTCATACTATTCTCATTGAGGTCTAATAACTTTTCTTCCCCGGGAGAGGCTATACGAAGTATATCCAGAAGGTCTACCATCAGCACTCCATCCACCTCAGCCGATAAAACAGTTTTGGACCAAAACCCACAGCCCGACGCACCCCAGCCTACACCGATCCCAGGGGCAGGCCCACCTCTACCGAAAGTCTCAACCGACTCAATGAGTTTCCACTTGTTCTCAATTGACTCTACCAGATTCTTCATCAGGTGTCCTAGATCGGGCTGGCATGACTTCAGTATCCCATCACTAAGAATGCTGTCCTCTGGTGATGAGTTTTTTTTGTAAATTGATGAAGAATCTGGAGTCTTGCAGTTAGGTAGAGAGATCAACTTATCAACCGCCAAAGCCACCCGGATCACTCCTTGAAGACAGCAAGTGGAAGCAATGGATGTTTCAGGCCCTCCTGTCAGCATCAAATGACACAAGCACGCAAGAAAAGAGCGATTGTCCTTACTAGTACCATTTATTTCCCCCGAAAAGCTAAAAAACCCATTTTTAATAATTTCAAGTCCGATCTTAGGGACAAAGTCGGGCAGCCACGGTAGACACCCATTAACATGGACCGTGCTACCCGCGGGAGGGATAACAGCTTCAAGAACCCCACAAAGCATGTGCATAATTGATGAAACGAGCCACAACTGAGAATTAATTACATCGTATTGTTTGTCTTCTTCATTTGGACTCTCAAGCAACCTGGATAAGTGTGGGAAATTATGTATGATGGTCCACTTCAAGGTTGGGTCAATAAGGGGATGCACATTTCTCCAAGACCAATTCTCTGTGTCTTGTACTTCTTCTTCCACTATATTAGCCCTCACTTGGTGGGGATAGAAATTGGGAAGCCTTTTATTCAAAGCCTCCAAAACAAGGAATGCTTCCTTCGCTATCATAGCATACTCGTTGACCACATTTTGCTCAATTAGCTTCTCAAAAGAAGGGAAGGTCAACCAAATGGAAAGGGCGGGAAATAGGTCAGAGAAGTGAGATACACAATACCCATAGTGAATGCAGACCTTCCAAAAGCATAATTGTTCAACAAGAAGAGCTGATGAAAGTTTACAAGCCTCTCTTCCATATTTTACCCATTGGTCAAGAGATGATGAATAACGGTACAAGTGCAATGTCATCTTCAGGAAAATTCCATTTTTTACGAATTCTGAACAGTTCTTCTTGCTGTACCGGGCTAAGATCTGCACCGTGTAGTAAAAAACAAGAGTTAATGCATGATTTGGTCCCTTGACTATATGCTACTACTCTACTTGGCCCCTCTTATTTCTTTCAGACTCAATTCAGTCATCGAAAACTGCAAACTGCAATTTAGACTATTTAGTCTGCATGCATCTATTAAGAAGTACTCCCTCCGTCCCATAAAATAAGTCCCACTTTCCTTTTTGGGCCATCCGAAAAAATTATTCCCATTTCCCTTTTTGGAAAGTTTTGTGTGGCTAACATTCATTTACCTTTTTCTTACTCAACCACAACCATACATTTCCACTTTATTCCCACTTTCTTAAACTCCGATCCAAATTGAAGTGGGATTTATTTTATGGGACGGAGGTAGTACATTTTTGTACAGTGGGTACAGAATTGGGTCCAAATTACATAATTGGTGCCAAATTGAATCAGAAATTGGTTCCACATTATATAGTTCAGTTCCGAATTGCATCAGAATTGGTAAAGGAACAAACATGCGCTTCTTTTTTAGATCCAGATATGTGAATGCATGATGACTAAGTTGAGGACCAAACTGAGTAATACTGTATAGGTGTCTAGCCGAGGGACTAGATCAAGTATTAACTCCAAAAACAAACTCATGAAAAATGACACTAGTCGAGGGACTAAATCAAGTATCAACTATAAAAACAAACTCAAGAAAATTGACACAGAAGCACATGAAACTGCTATGGATACCATATTACCATACATGCTTACTTTTAAGAGAGTGACTGATTTTATCTTGGGAAGACTTATTTCCATCGGATCAATCTCAACGAATCTGTTGACAATTATTTGCACCAGACTTTTACATTTGAGTATGGCATTTGCACATGTTGGCGAATGCCTTGCAATTGCAATAAGTATAGACATCAAGCATTCTTCCAAAGGCGCTGATGGGTCCATCTGGAATCACAAAGATTGGCATGTAAGAATTTGCAGTTCTCTAGTTTATGTTGCAACTACTTCCTCCGTTCCAAATTTATTTTCATTTTAGCCAAAAGTATTTTCCAAAAAAATTGTTGTTTTATGAATTCAGTGCATGTTTTTTACTAGTATCCCAAATTTACCCATATTAACTCTTCCTGCATTAAATGCTTTTGCATCTTGGAAAGATAGAAAATGTGAAATAAACTTATATGAGCTCATGGAAGGGCCGGGGGAGCCAAATCAAAGTAGAACACATCAGGATATTCATACTAGTATTAATAATTTAATTTCATATTATATTATTACTAAAACTATTGTTGTTGTTGTGATTAGTGGTAGTTTCCTATTAGTATTGATATTCTATTTTAGTTAATATTCCTAGGAGCAATATTGTGAAAGATTAGCACTATAAATTTGCTCACCAAGACTGTCGTGAGTAGCATAGATAAGGGGTTTAACACTTTAAGCTCATCAATAATACATATATTCCCAAGATCAACCATAAGGCTTTGACAATGTCAAATCTTGCAGGTTTCCTACCACATACCCTGGGGCCTCGGCCAAGGATGAGTTTGCAATATCTAACCATTCTCATAGCATAAACTTAAATAAGGATAGAAGAGTTATTTTCGTAAGGTTCCTTAGTATGTGTAAACTTTCCTAGAACAACAATTAATTAGAGGGTCCGAGGTGGTATTAGTTAGCCCTCAAGGTATTTGAAAAATAAAAAGACCAGCTTCATATAAAAGGTAAACTACCTCCAGTAGATAGCAGATCCTTTGGAGGATTCCCATCCTAACCAGACCGGCAGCTATATCTTGTCCCGCGACCATAATGTCATCCTGGATAGAATGATCACCTTCAGGTCCTTCCCCAAAAGAATCCTCAACCCTTGGAAGGATATTAGAAGGTTTAGTACTGTACTTCCAGAAACCACCATGAAGAAAGCCACCGTCAATCTCTGGCCGCCTTCTAAAGACAGGAGCTGTTGGAATATCTGTTCGGGAATTAGGTATTCTCTAAAACACAACAAACACATACAAACACGCACACATTAGTAATAAGAAAAAACATTGTAGCACATTGTTATTTCAGAAAGTTAGAGTGTGTTTGGTAGGCATTGTTTTAGGCTTATCCGCCTGATTAACAAGACTTTTCGCCAAAAGCTAATTATTTTTAGTAATAGGCTGATAATGAGAAAAGGTTGTAGTTACTTTAGATATTGTTTTCCTTAATTTAATTGAACATATACTTTTTAATAATATTTTTAGTTAATTCAACAGATTGAGCCAAATCAACCATTTCAGCCACAACATCAACCATTTTAGCAGGTTTAGAGACTTCAGCCATTATAAGCCTCACCAAACGGGCACTAAAATTAAAAAACTTGCTTCAGTACCTCCGCAATATCAAAGAAACGCTCATTGATATCATAGGTCAGTGTGCACTGAATGACTTTGGCACAGTACATAACTACAGACATGTGGTTGTCATCAAAACATATCCTGCACGTATAAAGAGACTATCAGAACCATCATTTAAGTTATATACGGTCTCACCACAAGTCCACATCTAAAACTTAGTACTGTTAAATATCCTTAGATTTACCTAAGTGCTAATGCAAGTTCGGGTTCCGGACCTAGTGCAAAAGCCCAAATGGCCTCCCAGTCAACTGAATCATCTTTGGATGTGTAATTTAATGTGCAGCCAAGTTGATTTTGACAAATTCCATTAATAGCTCTATCAATAACAGATGCTATAAGACGTAATGCAAGTGCCCGTTGACCAGGAATCTGCATTGAGAGGGTGAGAGAGAGGGGAAGAGATAGAGAGACTGAGCTTGGACAGCAAGAGCTTATATGCATATGGCAAAGAATTGCATGAAAAGTTCAAAAGACAAAGAAAATAGAATTGCTAACCACACTCCTTGTAAGAGCAACAGCTTCTTTAATGGTGTAACCAGCACCACCAGGATCACCTTGGGTTCGAAGAAAATCACGCTCTACTACATTATCTAGACTATAATCACCAACACAAGATCTTGTAGCTGCTAAAAATAGAAGGAACCCCATTAGAATACAGCCATGTTAGAAGGAACCCCATTAGAATACAGCCATGTTAACACTTCGAGCACGATTTCCTTCAGTAAGGGTGGCTGAAATTGTGGCTGATATTTATAAAGTTGCCAAAGTTGTTAGTTAGATCATAAACAATAAATACAAAATAGATGTTATCAATAAAATCAAGAGAACATGAGCATCTTCAACAACTTTAGCCAAACAAGTTACCTTCAAAACTACTTTTTTCAGTATACACCGACTAAATGTGCACAGTCAATTAAAGTATTGTTTGGTAACAACTCAAACTGATAATAAGACTGATAAGCCAAAAACAATGGCTACCAAACGGCCATTTAATTCCACAGGCAGTGTCTGAGATTTGCAACTTGGACCATCATATAAATGAGCAGCTAAAAAGGACAACTGGACAAGCCCTAAAGAGAAAAAGTATTCATTCAGTGAAATAAAATATTTCTCAGGAAACATTATCATCAGTTTATAAATGGAATATTTGGGCAAAAGAATGCATAGAACGGGCATGTCAAGTCATCCAGAAAGGCAAATGCGAGAAGCAAGCAAGCTTAGAATAAGATAATATAAACATATTGCAAAACTTGGTCTTACCGTTCTTTGCTGCCATATTAGTATCCCTTCCTACAATAGTTCCATCAATGGAAAACTTCAACTCTCTAACACTCTCAACTCTATTGCTCCATGATTCCCACAACCCAGTTTTTTTTTGCAATGAATTTGAAATGTTACCATCTGAATCCCCATCTTTTTCTTCCGGGTTCGCATTGCTTGCAAGATTGGAATTGAAAGCAGGAGAAGAAACAGTTAAATCATCCATGCATTTTTCCTTCTTGAAATTATCATTTTCACCCATGGAAGGTGAGCATAAACTCGAAACATTATGCTTGTTGAACTTATTTAGTCCACGCCTTTTTAGTGCTGCTATTCGAGAGGAACTAAAATTTTCCAGAACTTCAGCCTGTGCTTCCAAAATCTTATCAGCAGACATTCCGGCTAATTTCGCACGATTTTGAGCATCAATTTGGCCCTCAAGACTCATTAACTCTTGCCCATCATCAATTTGACCTTCACAAAACTTATCCAACCCAGTAGGTAGGAGATCCACATGACCTTCTTGAGTATTAATGGCTATGGCCGAAACAGTTTTCTCTTGGACCAAATCATGTGATTTGCATGCACCCTTTAAATTGACCGCATTTCCACATTCTACCTTGAAATTTTGTCTCACTTTAGAACTGACATCATGAAAATGGTTTTCTCCTGACCTATTATCCACTACCTCTCGCCAGTGACTAAAATTCATACCTTTATTATCTTTCCTTAGCATAGGTTTGGCAAAATCCCCAACTCTGTCAAATCTGTTGACATCATCCTTGCCTTCACCATCACAAACATTCTCACTAGAAACCTCAATATTTGGATTCCAATGCTAAAATGAATGTATAAATACACAAAGTTAGCGTATTCATGCAAATATCTAGGCTGAATCATGATGATATTTTCTTTGCTTACTTTGCATTATGTTAGATTTGGAGCCTGTTTGTTAACACCTCTTTTTGGCTTATCGACCTTATACAACTTTTTTATCAAACACATAAGTGTGTAACTTTTGATTTAGCACATTGGGTTTCATAATAATCAAAATAAGTAAGCTTGGAGTTACTTTCTGAATGAATTGGCTGAAATTGGTGAACTATACTATTTTAGTTATTTTTCATATAAAATTTTCATAATTTTATTGATAAGATATAATCCGTATTTTATATATAATTTTTTCATAATTCAGCCTATTCATCAGCTTCAGTCAGACAATTTCAGTGTTACCACTTTTAAGTAAAACTGTTTCGCTCTCCGAATTCTAAATGGCTGAATCAAGGGGTATCTGCAACCCGGGGATGTGGAAAATTCGAGAAAATTTCTAACGTTCTTTAGTTCATTCATCTTTAAAAAAAACAAGGGACACTTGACACTTGTATAAGGAGTGCAATTACCGGACCGTGAGAGCGATGACGAGCGACTGGGAACGGGCGAACGGTGGGTCGAGGAGGAGCACAGGAATAAATCGTAGGCCCACTACTGTGAAGTTGCTCCGGAAAGCCTTTTTCGATTATGCCGCCGATGATACTGGAGGCGTTGCCACCATTGGTGTGTGCTATAAAAGTTTTTGAATTTGAGTTTCTGACTTCGCTCAGTTTCCCCATTCGTGATGCTCGCTTTGGTTTGACAATGGCTCGGTAAAGGAATTAGTTTGCCGACTTTGCCCTTCTGTGGGAGGATGGACTACGGGACAAGAATTTACCACCAGTTCCTTCTCCTGCAGCTCTCCTGCTTTTGGAAATATGAAGCAAAGATGGAAAATCTACTCCCTACTGTATCGAAAACGGCAAATTATACCCGTGGACCCGTATACTGCGACCATCATATACCCTTTTTTTCCCTTTTGTTTTTAAAAAATGCTAATAACATTTTTATTTTTGATTCGATTTTTATAAAATTTATATTAACATTTTTTATTTTTTATAATCTTTCAAATGAGACCAATATTACTTATGTAATTTTAAGAAATTATTGAACTATTATATTAATGAGTATTGGATTATAAGGAAAATCGAACTAAATTTAATACAGAAAAATAATTGTGTAAATCACAATTTATCTTAAAATTATGTATATAAAAAATTTATTTTATTATAAATTTATACATGTGAGTTACATATTTTTATACGTAAAGTTACATATTTGTACACGTAAAGTTACATATTTATACACACGAGTTGCATTTGGCCTGCCTGAACGCGAGTTACATATTTTTACACGTAAAATTACATATTTTTACACGTAGTTACATATTTATACACGCGAGTTACATATTTTTACACGTAAAGTTACATATTTTTACACGTAAAGTTACATATTTATACACGCGAGTTACATATTTATACATACGAGTTGTATTTGACCTGTTTGAACGCGAGTTACATATTTTTACACGTAAAGTTACATATTTATAAACGTGAGTTACATATTTATACACACGAGTTGTATTTGACCTGTCTGAACGCGAGTTACATATTTTTACACGTAAAGTTACATATTTTTACGCGTAGAGTTACATATTTATAGAGTTACATATTTACATGACTGGACGTAAGTTACATATTTCTACACATAAAATTACATATTTTACATAGGTTAATATAATAGTTCGATAATATTTTAAAATTACATAGGCAATATTGGTCTCATTTGAAAAATCATGAAAAATAAAAAATGTTGATATAAATTTTATAAAAATCGGATCCAAAATAAAAAAGTTATTACCATTTTTTAAAAAAAAATACCCAATGGGTGCATGATGCTCACCATGCACCGGTTGCACGGTATACGCACTCATCAAAACCCCGTATTAGAGGCATGTTTCCTTGCGTATGCAAATTTGTTTATGTTTTGATTTGGTCTCAATTGATCCGGTCTGATCTCATAAATGTCTAGTTTCTGTGTATTTTATAACTATGAAAAACTGATCTGGTTTTGTCTGATCTGGTCTGGTGTGGGACTGAAAATAGTCCAAAAGAAACTGATGGAGTATATGGGTCTAGGCCCCAGGACCCACATACTCAGAAGAACAGAAAGTACAAGCTGCCAAGCGGTGCCCTCGTCGGCCAAAGGACCCCCGTCGGCCAAAGAGGGACCAACTCAGAATATGATCCTGAAGCTAGGGAACCAGGGTGCCCTCGTCGGTCGTGCCCTCATCGGTCGTGCCCTCGTCGGCCAGACCCACGTCGGCCACGGAAGCCTCACAGAACTAGATTTTACACTTAATCATTCCTACACACATTGTATTCGGCCCAATGGCGGTCCAGTTGTAAATGGGCCTCCCAAGCCCAAGGCTTGGGAGCCCAGTCCGTATTTTTCCTATAAATACTTCCTCTCAAGGTAATTATAGGGGTTACAAAATCATTCTATTGAAGCATTTACTTGCACTTCTCTCTCTAGCTCTCACTTCTCTCTAGATATATACTCTATCATTTGGTGCTCTCGTTGAGAGCTAGAACAATCAAGTTAGCACCCTTCGTCGCTACCAAGCACAGCTAACCACTGATCAGACCCCCAGGAGAAGTACAGGGGAAACGCCATCAAGTCCTACGACGGCCGATCAGACCCCCAGGAGCACTTCAGCCGCTATCAGAACAACATGCTGATGGTGAACGCGTCGGATGAATATCTCTGTCGTTGGTTCCTCTCCACTCTTGAGGGGCCGGCATACGAGTGGTTCAACGCGCTTCCCGAAGGAAGTATAGACTCATGGGAGGACCTTGCCCAGCGTTTCTTCACCCACTTTGCCGGGAGGAAGCGTGCGAAGAAGTATTTCACCCATCTCCTCTCCGTCAAGCAGCAACACGACGAACCCCTCCGATCATTCATTGATCGGTGGACGAGGGAGACCGAAGAGGTCGAGGGGTCCGATGAGCGCACCCTCCTCGTCCTCTACCAGGGAGCCCTCCGCAGCTCCCCGTATGCCAGGAGCCTCATCACCGACCCTCCGAGGTCATATGCAAAGTCGCTTCAGCGCGGGAGCTTGTACGTTGATGCCGACGAGCTCCAAAACCACAAAAAAGACGGAGGCCACCCCTCCAAGAAGACAAATCCTTAGCCGGCCCCGTGAGCATCCCCGGTCGGTCAGGGTGCCCAGTGCCGTCACGGCTCTGGTGGACAAAGCAAGAAAGACCGCCATTGGCGGACGAGGTTGGAACGGCCGGGGGTCCCCCTCACCCACCCGGTCAGCACCATCCTCGACTATGCCGAGAAGCATGGACTCATTGAACAAGCTCCTCGGCCGACGGAGGAAGTCCTTGCCATCTAGCAAGGCGGCACCTACTGCCGATTTCACAAAAACTCCTCACACAACACCGACGACTGCATCACGCTGAAGAAAGCCATCGAGCGCCTGATTCGTCAGGGGGAACTCTCCCAATTTGTTAAAGGTGGCCCGCGCAAAAATACGTGGGTAAACACCGGCAAACCTGGGGGCGAACCCTCTACGAAGAAGCGGGAGATCGGTAGGCTCAGAGACGACGACGATTTTGAGGAGCCTCTACCAAAGAAGAACCATATTCACCTCATCGTAGGTGGGAATACCGGGGGGACTCCGTCACCCAGAGGAAGAAATGGGCCCAATCCCTTTACATTGGGGAGGTGTCCCACGTCCCCCCCCCCCCCCAGCCGAAGAAGCAACAAACGGAGGCGATCACCTTCACCGACAAGGATCTGCCTCCGGGTGCGGAGTCACACAGGGACACCCTCGTCATCCGGTGTGAGATCGGTGACTCCATCATCCATCGCACTTACATCGATACGGGGAGCTCCGTCAACGTGATGTACCTTGACACCTTCAAGCAGTTGAAGCTGGACAAAGCTCTGCTGAAGCCGATCAAGACACTGTTGTCCGGCTTCACCGGGGACTCTATCGACGTCGGACTCTATCGACGTCGAAGGCACGATAGTCCTCCCCGTGGAGGTCGGCGACGGCTCCCACCACGCCAAAATTGACATGGAGTTCATGGTGGTCAACCTTCAGTGCGCCCACAACCTGATTTGGGGGCGGCCGGCACTGGAGGACCTGGAGGCCATCATCTCCATGAAGCACTTATGCTTGAAGTTCCCCACCAGTGGCAGCATCGGCTACGCCAGAAGAAATCAGAGGATAGTCAGGGCATGCTACCTCAAGCTAACCAGGCCGGTTGAGAGGGAAGGGCAGAGAATAGACACCATCACGGCAACCGTTGCCAAGGACGAGGAGAGACCGCATGATGAACCGGTCGAAGAGGTCGAGGAGGTCCCCCTGGATACCTCCCGGTCGGAGCGGGTCCTAAAAATCAGGAAGCAACTCCCGCAGGACCAGCGAGACACCATCCTCCTCGTCCTACGGTCATACGCCGTCATCTTCGCGTGGGGCCCGGATGACATTCCGGGCATCAGCCGGAAGGTGATCACCCACCGGCTGACGTCGATCCGGCCTCCGTGCCTGTCAAGCAGAAGCGACGCTACTTGTCCGCCGACAGGCGGGACTTCGTCAAAGGGGAGATCACCATGCTCCTCTCAATCAACCACATCAAAGAGGTGAAGTACCCGACGTGGCTAGCCAACGTCATCCTCGCCCAAAAACCGCCGACATTCAGAATGTGTGTTGATTACACTGACCTGAACAAGACGTGCCCCATGGACCCGTTCCCTCTCAATAACATTGATCAATTGGTGGACGAGACTGCGGGATGCGAGTTGATGTTGTTCCTTGACGCTTTCAGAGGGTACCACCAGATTTTCATGCATGAAGATGACGCTGAGAAGACGGCCTTCATGACCCCGGAGGGAATTTTTTGCTACCTTGTCATGGCTTTTTGGGCTCAAAAACTCCAGCGCCACCTATACCAGGATGGTGGCTAAGATCTTCAGAGCAGTCCTCGGCCGGACGATGGAGGCATACGTCAATGACATGATTATCAAAAGCAAGCGAGCCACCACACATGCTGACGACCTCCAGGAGATTTTTGAAATCATGAAGGAGTTCAAACTCCGCCTCAACCCCAAGAAGTGCGCCTTTGGCGTCCAAGGCGGCAAGTTCCTCGGCTACATGGTCAGCCGGAGAGGCATTGAAGTAAACCCGGAGAAGATACAAGCTATCGTCAATATGGAGCCACCCCGCAACGTCAAGGAGGTACAGCGGCTAACGGGGCGCCTGGAGGCCCCGAGCCGTTTTCTCTCCAAGTCAGCCGCGAGGTCACTCCCTTTCTTCCAGATCATGCGCAAAGCAAACTGCTTCAAGTGGACGACGGAGTACCAGGAAACATTCGAAGAGCTGAAGAGGTACCTTTCATCCCCGCCGGTGCTCTCCAAGCCCAAGGCCGGCGAAACCCTCTTCTTATATTTGGGGGTGAGCACGTCGGCTATCAGCTCCGTGCTCATCCGCGAGGACGAAGGGGTACAGAAGGCCATATTTTACATCAGCAAAACAATCAGGAAGGCCGAGCTCAGGTACTCCCCCATTGAGAAGACGGTGCTAGCCATCGTCCACACGGTGAAAGTACTGGGGCACTACTTCCAGGCCCACGTCGTCCACGTACTGACCCAGCAGCCCCTTGGCGCGCTCATGAGGAGCCCCACTAGCTCCTCGAGGATGGTGAAATGGGCGATCTTCCTCAGCCAATTCCAAATTGAGATCAAGCCAAGGTCATCTATCAAAGGGCAAGCCTTGGCCGACTTTGTCACCGAATGCACAATGAGGGAGATGACCACTACTACCCCCGGGCCAGAGCCAGATGACACGTGGATCCTCTTCACCGACGGCTC